CCTGGAAACCGGAAGAACCCTCCCGTCTGAGTGGCAGGACGGGCGAAGGCTCTGATTGGCTATTGTTGCCTGAGTGACAAACATAGTCACTGCACAAGGGTTGTCAAGTGGAGCTTCTTTTGTAAACACAGCCTTATCCCAGAGTTGCTGGAGATTTGTTCCAAATTCTCAACAGGTCTCTTATTAATGCAAACCAGTGGTTTGTGTTTTAAAAAGAATTATAAAAATTCAGAAGGTAGCTAATCAAGCAATGCTGCACTTAACAAACACATCATAACTCGTGATTATAATAAAAACAAATCTACAGTGGCATTCTCCGTAAAGTGTTGGGTTTTCAGGACCTGAAGCAAACCCATCACAAAGGCCATGGTTGCAAGACATTACAAGCTCTTCCAAGCATATTCCTGGTTTCAAAGGAGATCTAGTTCTCTGTCTATATATCAGGGTCTCAGAGAAACATCACATGGCCTAGGTAGGTGGCTGTGTTTTGAGAAGCCTAGGTGCTCAATTATCATCTAGAATTAATTCAATTTTCATTTGACATTCAGGTGTAAAATCCATTTGGAGATGTTTGTGGAGGCTGTGTATCGCGTCTCTCCAACTGGGTAGAACCCCCATGCTAATCTGTACTGTATAAGAGCAAAACTGCTGATATAAAGGAGTTACTAACCCTTAGAAGATATTAAACGAATCGAGATAGGATTCACCTGAGGGAGGGCTACCTCTAAAACATCCCAAAGGCTAGTAGTATGCCAAGCAGGCCTGAATATGATCAGGATGCTTGCATGTAAATTATTCATATTTTGTATATACTGTCAATGGGCACTTTTCCATGGTAAAGAGAGGATAGAGAGACCCTCTGAGTAAAGATCTTCCTATAGTAAGCTGGAGAATCCTAGTTTTAAAAGGGATTTCTTAGCTGTGTTGTACTGGATGCTGTACATACCAATGTACTGATTTTTTGGTAATCATTTGCTGGGTCTTAGTATGCCTACATACTCCCATAGAAATCCAAAAGGGTAGTTAGAGCAGCAATGCTCTGTATTGCATGTGTTTGCCTCTGAAAAAGCGCGCTATTTGGTACCTTTTCCTCAGAGATGCTGAAGACCGCACCCAAAGGATATTTAAACTGCCCCCCAGAAAACAAACTGGTAACCACCCCTTCTTTTTCCCCCATCTCCATCTCATCTCTGAGGGCCTGGAGGGTCACTGGGGAGCACGGGCAGCCGTTAATCCTGGACATTTTCTAACTTCGTTTGATTTGGTCTGATCCAGATTATACCTCAGAAACGTTTATAAACTTCTCATCACAGCCCGAAGATGCCAAAACTGTTTGGGGAGCAGGAAGAACAGAGATAACAAAGAATCGCAGACACAGGATAGACACAGGTGGGCAACTCTGAATACTGAATGCTGAGTTGTTCTTTTGTGTTTGAGTTCACTCACTTTCCATACACTTCTATACCCCAATACAAATGGAATAGGAAGTCAAGACTTCTGTAACAAGACTCATATGTTGACCAGAACAGTTCTTTGCCCCAATACTTGAGAAACCAAGTCATTATTTCTTGACAACGGCATTCTATTGTTTAGAGAGTAAACCACACTAGCCCACATATCCCGAAATTACCACTCCCTTGGTCAAATCTCCTATTTCAAAGAAGCAGCAGAAATATGCTAGAATTATAAGACCCTTGGTTAACGTGGTCGACTTTTATGGTATATCTTCATGCCCAAAACCCCAAGTAACAACACCCTAGTTCAGGGTGAGTGGTGACAGTTGCCAACAACTTGGAATAAGCTCAAACTCTCTGATCTTCAGACAAGGTGGAATTGGCAAATATTTTTGGGCTTCCCCAACATAGGAGGATAAGACTGCTGAGGGGAGAGGACCCTTCTTGCACCTCTAATCAAACATTTGCTAGGACCGACTCTCCTGAAGTTCTGCATTTTCTAAGAATTCGGTTCACACTGGCCAACTGACTTGCAATTGGTATCTACACAGGCAAATCTATACATGTAAATTAATTTTAATTTTTTTAAAAGAACCCATACTGATAGAAAACAGTTTTCATAAGATGGAATCACATATGTATTTTTATTTTCATCATTTACATACATGGTTTCCTACAGGCCAATAAAATGCATCAGATCTCCAGAACATGGAAACACAGGCAGTTCTGAGCCATTAGATGTGGGTTCAATCAGCCAATCATGGCTACCCAAGCAGTACTATTGAGTCCCAAAATATGTCATTACAATGCAGAAGATAAAGATCCCTATTATTCTTCTGTCTCCTATCACTTGAAGGTGATGAACACTCCACTGGATGACTGTGAAAGGATTCAACGACTCACTCTCTGTCTGTGAATGGAGCCTGCGTATGTCTTCTTGTCATTTTAACACAGTATTCTTAATGTAAGGACAACAAACGTTTTTGTTGAAACCTAAGAGTGTTTATTAAGATTACATTAGAAAATGTTCCATAATTTGAGATATGCTTTCTCTTTTCAGAAGTTTTTAGAGACAGGCCATCACTGCTTAGCCAAGACTAATCTAAACCTCACTATATGTAATAAGCAGGTCTCACATTCAGGGAGATTGTCCTCCCAGTGTCTAACAAGTCCACGGATTGCAGGCATGTGCAAAATTATTTATTTATTGTCTACAAGTCAGAGAATATGGGGTAAAACAATATGTAAAATATAAAAATCAGTGTTTTCATTAATGGTGGTTATTTCTGAAATTCTATAATAATTTGAATTGGCAACTCATTTCATATATTTTCAAAAACCGGGCTACTTGTTTTGTTAATCTCATCCATTTAAAATGTGTGAACTGTGTCTGTGCACACATCTGTGCAATTGTGAGTCTGTGTCAATGAGAGGATAACATGGAGGTTTCCATGATCTACTTCCTCCATGGAGATGAATCCAAGGGAGTTGGTTGGATACACTTGACTTATTGGTGCTTATTTGGTTTTCTTTTTTTTTTTTTTGGTTTGTCGAGACAGGGTTTCTCTGTGGTTTTGGAGCCTGTCCTGGACCTAGCTCTTGTAGACGAGGCTGGTCTCGAACTTACAGAGATCCGCCTGCCTCTGCCTCCCAAGTGCTGGGATTAAAGGCATGCGCCACCACCGCCCGGCGCTTATTTGGTTTTCAAGGATACTTATGTAAGTTCTGCTGTGTGATTGTGCCGATACTATAGACCAAGCGCGGACATAATAAAAAAATTTGCTGGAGAAATATAGGTCTCCAAGGGATATACCTTGGGTCATCTGGCTTATCAGTAACTAATTATACTTCCTGAGACAATTCTGTGATATTCACCTTTGTACTGAGAAAGTGTTATAAACAAGTATTCGGTCTGTACAATAAAAATAAACAAAATAAAAAGGTAACATATCACTTTCATTTACAAATGAAAATTCGAAGATTTATTGTATGAGGGAATTTGGCAGGTCCCACAGAGGCTGAGGGACAACGGGAAAATCCAGGATATGCCATGCAGAGAGAGTTTGGGAGTATAAAGAGTTATTTAGGAAACAAAATTGGGGCGGGGGAGGACAGAGGAAGGAAGAGAAACATAAACAGAGTAAGAGACAGAGAGGAGAGAGGGTGACAGAGAGTTAGGAGAAAAGAGAAAGAAAAGAAAAGAAAAGAAAAGAAAAGAAAAGAAAAGAAAAGAAAAGAAAAGAAAAGAAAAGAAAAGAAAAGAAAAGAGAGAGGCCCAGATTTGCCTCTTCAGAAGAAATGCAGGCAGAGACAAAGGTGTCCAAGGTAAGCTTGCCCCCCAGGGAGAAGACAGAGACTGGGAATGGGTGGAGCTTGTCTACTAAAGGGACAGGGTACTGACAAAAAAAAAAATGTGGATTTCTCAAAAAATTAGGAAACAACTTACTTCAAGACCTAGCAATACCATTTTTGAGTATATATCCAAAGGCTGCTTTATACCACAAGCATGTGTGTTCATCGCAGCATTATTTTTGATAGCCAGAACCGAGAAAAATCTAAATGCCTGTCAGCCACAGAATGGAGAAGGAAAGTGAGGTACATTTACAGTTGAGTTCTATTCAGCGGGAAAAAATGATGATATCTTGAAATTTGTGGGTAAATGGATGAATCTAGAAAATGTTATGTTGAGTGAGGTACCCCAGCCCCAGAAAGACAAATATAATATGTACTCACTCATGAGTGGCTTTTAGACATAGAGTAAAGTTAAACCAGCCTGCAATTTACAATGCAAGAGAACACAGACAACAAAGAGGGCCACAAGAGAGACATACATGGATCTAATATACTTGGAAAGTAGAAAATATCAAGATCTCAGGCTGGAGAGATGGCTCAGAGGTTAAGAGTACTGACTAATGTTCCAAAGGTCCTGAGTTCAATTCCCAGCAACCACATGGTAGCTCACTGATGCCCTCTTCTGGCCTGCAGGTGTACGTGCAGGCAAAACTCTGTAACGTAAAATATAATAAAGAAAATTAAAAAAAAAAGATCAAGATCTCCCCAGTAAATAGTGAGCATGCCGATCATGTGACAGGGTAGAAAATGAGAGTACAGAAAGGGAAGAGAGCAGAGAAAAATATATAGACAAAACAATTAAAAACATGAAGTGACAAATGGAAAAGTAATGGATATATAAATTTGAAAATGGAACACTAAATAGGGTATGCAAAGCTACAGCAGCACATCAAGCTATGTTGTGAGATATGGAGTTGACTGCTGAGTATCTTACTTCATTATATATCAACCAAAAAATATCTGGCTTTGAATATGCACACGATATATTTATTATTTCTTTATTAACTTACTGTATTTAGTTACTAGATTCTCTAGTATAAAGTATTTTAACATAAATTAGAACAAAGCATGTTATATCACATGTACAGAAAAGGCAAAAATACACATCCATAAATGCTTACAGCTGAATTAGATAATTAATATAATGGAAGAGCATTTGCAAATCTAAAATGGTTACATCACTTTTTTTAAAAAATTTGTAGGGCTTTCCTTCATATGAGTTTGCAGGTACAAACAAAAAAAACATAAAAATGCTTAGACAGATTGCTGATTTTGATAGAATATTTTTACCACATACAATAACAATAGCAATGTGTAACTTAATAATGAGTGTAGACTGAATATGTTGCCAAATCTTTTATATTTAGATTCCCTTTGATATTGGTTTGGCATGTCCTCAAATAGTACTGTAATAAGAACAGACTTTAATTCACTGATTATACACTAAAAGTATATTCTTATAGAAAAACTACCATGAAATAGGTAAAAATTACTACACTGACAAGATTTATCAAGGTTCTACAGTATATTTTCTCATGACCTCAAAGACTTCTGCTACATACAAATGTTTAACCACATTGATCATAGTCATACGTATTCCTCAAGTTTGTATTCTTTTATGATTCTAAAGATTATTGCAACTTAAAAAGGCATCATTACACTTACTGCATTCAAAGGGTTTCTCTGTAGTATGTGTTCTGTTATGACTTTAAAGATTCCTGTGACGTGTAAAAGCTATACGACATTGATTATATTAATAGGGTTTCTCTGCACTATGTGTTTATTTTGCTCTGGAAGACTATTGTAATATGAAAAGGATTTATAACACTGATTAAATTAATAGGGTTTCTCTGCACTATGTTTTCTTATATGCCTCTGAAGACCACTGTGATACAAAAAGACTTTACCACACTGACTACATTCAAAGGGTTTTTCTCCACAATGTGTTCTGTTATGATTTTTAAGGTAACTGTGATGTGTAAAAGCTTTACCACACTGATTGCATTCATAGGGTTTCTCTCCAGTATGTATTCTTTTATGTTCTTGAAGACCACTGGGACGTGTAAAAGCTTTACCACACTGGCTACATTCATAGGGTTTCTCTCCAGTATGTGTTCTGATATGCACTTGAAGAGTACTGAGATTTGCAAAAGCTTTACCACACTGATTACATTCATATGGTTTCTCTCCAGTATGTGTTCTTTTATGTTGTTGAAGACTACTGCATTGTGTAAAAGCTTTATCACATTGATTACATTCATAGAGTTTCTCTCCAGTATGTGTTTTGTTATGAATTTGAAGATAACTGTTACATGTAAAAGCTTTACCACACTGATTGCATTCATACGGTTTCTCTCCAGTATGTGTTCTTTCATGGTTTTGAAGATAACTGTTATATGTAAAAGCTTTACCACACAGATTGCATACATAGGGTTTCTCTCCAGTGTGTTTTCTTTTATGTCCTTTAAGACTACTGGGTTGTGTAAAAGCTTTACCACACTGATTACATTCATAGGGTTTCTCTCCAGTATGTATTTTTTTATGTTGTCGAAGACTACTGTGATGTGCAAAAGCTTTACTACACTGATTACATTCATAGGGTTTTTCTCTAGTATGTGTTCTGTTATGACTTTGAAGAATAGTGTGACGTTTAAAAGCTTTACCACACTGATTACATTTATAGGGTCTCTCCCCAGTATGCGTCCTTTTATGTATTTGTAGTCGAGTCACACATGCAATGGCTTCATCATGTTGAATACGTTCACACGGTTTCTCTTCTATAAAACTTCTTTCATATCTTTCAAAGTGACTGTTATAGAAAGAGTTTAACTCATTAATATATTCAGAAGGTGTCTTTGCACATATAAGAGCATTAAAACATTCATTACACTTTAAATCCTTATATCTGTAGGAATTTATTTTAGCATTTAGTCTATCTTATTATGTACAGAATGTTCCTCAGGCCTGTACACCTCCATGCCACATGAGGGCATCAGATCCCAATAGCAATGGTTGTGGGCCACCATGTGATTGCTGTGAGTTGAACTCAGGACATCAGTGCTCTTAGCTCCTAAGACATGGTCTAAGTTTGAAGAGAAATCAGAACGTAAGCTTTTATCATGTCTTGTAATCTCATGTTTTCCCTTTATTGAAGGTTGCTGAGCATCTTTGAAGATGCCTTTGATGGAAAGAGCTTTTATTACATGGTTTACTTTTGGAACATCTTATTTTTGTATGAGATTTTTCACAAATGTAAAGAGAACTGGCAAAACTCAGAGAATCAAAAAAACTTATATACAAGAGTGCGAGTCATACTACATTTACAAAGTGACTCATGACACACAGAGGTGGCTACAACACCTAGTCCTCACCTCGCAAACAGTACTTTCCTAACGGACATTGAGGTGTATGGCTTTTTGAGAATTTAATAACCATCAATACACTTTAAGCTTGTTTCTTTATATTGCTGCATTTTTTTTTATAATCCAGGGCACATTTAGCTTTTCTCAGACACACACTTAAGTAATCTTGCTTACTAAAGTTACCTTCCAAATCCTCTAGACCTTTGAGAATGCTCTTCAATATTTTGATCTTCCCAAGTGCATCCTAAAAATAATACCAGAAAATATGTGATATGTGATTGGAAATTGTGCAAAATTTAAGTTTTTATCTTCAATGAACCTTAGCACCATGAATGATTTATTGACCATACTCTTTCTCTTTCTCAATCCACATTACAGAAAACCCTCAATAACCAGGAAACACTTGTCCCCTTACGTTAAAATGTGAGTAAATTTCACCATCTTACCAATAGCGGTGAGGTTCATGAAGGTCTCCAGCATCACATCCTTGTAGAGATTCTTCTGGGAAGGGTTCAGCAAAGCCCACTCTTCCGGGGTGAAGTTCACATGCACATCATCATAGGTCACTGCATTCTAATATATCCCATACATGTGAAAAACAAAAGCGGTGATACCATCAACATTGTAAATGCATACAGTATGATCTTCTATTTCTGGTGCTTCTCGTATTTATTTCATGAGAGGGACTTTATTAAACCATCACCACATCACTAGAGAATGAAACTGAACAGGAAATTCACCCCTGTCATTTCTTCAACCTTTAAATAAGATTCATCGTGCCAAGGAAATGCAGTCCTCAGTAAACATCAGAGAAACTGTTAGACCTATTACTAAATACAAAATATAATAGGCTATAACAGGTATTGACTCACACCTTTAATACCAGCGCAAAGAAGGCAGAAACAGGTCTATCTTTCTTTCTATGTGTTAGATTGATATTTTGAAGGCAGACAAAGTCGAAATATGTATTTTTGTCAAACACAGATGCCTGTAACGGAATCTAGCGAAATCGTATACTAAGAATCCATGACCTGTAACATTGCATCTTTTTTGTATACTGGACCAATAAAACCTCAAAAGTTCACCCAAATGTTGAGTGTATATTGTAATGGCCCATGCCATGCTTGGAACAAGTTGCAGCAGATTCAGAATGAAGTTGTTTCCTTGGACAAAGGATCTCTTTCTCTATTCGTACCATATATTGAAGGCGTTGAGGATGCCTTTCTAGGCATCCTATTCTGAGGATGAGCCTTCTCTTTAATGGTGCTAAACACCTTGAAATGTCCTTTTTCTCTTTCATCATACAACTGTCTTCTGTAATAACCAAGTGCTGATTGTCTCTACAAAACAGAAGTGTAAGTCTGTTATAGTTATAGGTTGTATAATAAACAATTTGATTTTTGATGGACATAGGTGAAGCCTTGTAAAGTTTTTTTGAGCCTCTAAGTTTATGACCTATATGTTAAGAACCAGTACACTAAAATGATATAAATGTATAAATACATAAATTTGTTCTTAATAAAAAGAAGATAACATTCTATTTTGTGTGAGCGTTTTGTTTTATTTATTTTTTTAATCAAGTTATAAATTTTTCTCTGTTTTCCCCTTCTCAAACTCCCATGGTCCCCAAGCTACCAACTTTTGCAGGAGATCTTTTCTTTTCTAATTGTTATGTTGATAAGATCCATGTGTGTCTCTCTTAGGCTCCTTGTTGTTGTCTAGGTTTTCTGGGATTGTAGGTTGTTTTCCTAATTGATTTTTATTGAGCTCTATGGTTTTCTCTGTTCCACTTC